ACACGCGCTTAGTAGAGGATATTTTGTGTTGTTGCCCTGGAGAAAACAACAATTTGTAGCACGCCCATGGTGAGGCATTATTTATGTTTAACAGTGCTTAAAGGGACACTGTTTTGGTCCGGGAGAGACCTAATATTCTTACGCCCCGGTGAGGCTAACTCTACGCTATTTTTAGCTATTTGGCATGTGGTTACTGGCGGATATATTTTGTTGCTGTCCTGGAGAGACCAACAATTTGTAGTACGCCCAGGTGAGGCGCTTCTGTTCTGGTCCGGGAGAGACCTTACATTCTTACGCCCTGGTGAGGCTATTTTATTCTGGTCCGGGAGAGACCTACCATTATTACGCCCTGGTGAGGCTATTTTATTTTGGTCCGGGAGAGACCTAACATTCTTACGCCCTGGTGAGGCTATTTTATTTTGGTCCGGGAGAGACCTAACATTCTTACGCCCTGGTGAGGCTATTCTATTTTGGTCCGGGAGAGACCTAGCATTATTACGCTCTGGTGAGGCTATCTTTTTTGGTCCGAGAGTCCTAGCATTCTCACGCCCTGGTGAGGCTATTTTGTTTTGGTCCGGGAGAGACCTAACATTCTTATGCCCCGGTGAGACTAACCCTACGCTATTCTTGGCTTTTCGACATGTGGTTGGTAGATAGTAAGGTTATAATAAGCTACTTTAGTTCTATTAGATGTTGGCCGATATACGGCTTAGTTTGCTGTTTGCATTCCTATGCAAATTTATCCGCTTCGCGTCGGCCCCATCTTCTGTTTTACGTCGCATGTTTTATTTAATTTGTCCTGACGCGTTTTGCATAAGGTTGGTCTCCTGGGAAAACTAAACATTTTGGTGAGACCTTTTCTAAAAGACCTCGTTGTTTCCCGTAGGAAGGTGGCAAACTTTATCGATTTTTGGATAATGTCTGCAATTTTGTTTTTCCAAAATAAAATAGATATGAATAATGTGAAATATGTGRAAACTTTGTCACTCTCATAGTCCATATCACAACCCGCGGAGAGCCTTGTGACGCAATGCATTTTGGGATCGGTRAATGAGTAAACAAGTGAACAACAATGTCAGTGCTTCAGTTGTCTGTAACGTAGGGTAAGTTTATWAAAAAAAATGGGAAATATTGATATTGTAGTCAATCTCAGAAGCGGAAAAACAAACAAATATCGACAAGCATGGAAATACAGCAAGGAAAACCTCCAGAAAATGTACATTTAATCGGAAAATTTCCATTTACYAGGCGGATCAAGCAAAAATGAAAACAAAAATATTTTGTCTGTGAAAAGATCAAAACTAATTATTGTTTTTACGATTTTAGCGATTTGTTTTGACGAAGAAAGGGAGATATATATCCCATGATACATTGCAAAACCATTCAAAATGGCGGGCTTGTGATATGGACTATATGAATCAACTACCAGAAATAAACATTTTTAGGAAAGTTTTACAGCCCTGAATAAAATGTGAACAAATTTATGGACAAATGAAAATACAAAGAAACGTATGTAACTTTCATCCAAGGCCTTTATAGCCTCGTTCTGGTGTTATGATATATTTCAAATCCTTATAACTTCACCAGAATCTAATATTTTCACTTCAAACTTTGATATTTTGTTATTAGCACAGGTTCCTATCAGCTGTTAGTTTACTTTTATCAAAATTCAAAATTTTTAAAAAAATTTATGTTAATTAGATGGCAGCCATTATGGTAGAGGTGTATAAGGTTTTGATAGTTTTCTAAAATTCAAAGGCCATGCAGATGGGAGAGTGTGTTAGCGTGAAACAGGAGTATAATTCTCCCCTCGGTTGTACCGGGTCATGCTACCATTCTCTCCCCACCTGACAGTGGCCATGGCATCCATAACAGAAGGTAATATTTGATAATGGTATTGCCTTTTAAGTCATAATTGTACTTTATTTCAAACTGTGATATTATAGCAAACCCAAATCCAGGTTTTCGGTTCAGACCATCTTTATTTTTCTTTACCATTTGCTTACCTGAATAGTAGAAATATCGAACAGTTTTTTTTTGTTTTTTTTTACCCTTCTGTTTACTCTCAAAAATAAAAGGGGTGAATTCAGAGAATTGGCTGGCCACTGGACGGTGGGGAGGAATTGGTAGCTCATCCCTTCAAAACACCTGACAGTGCATGGCTCACGCCCTATCCTGATGTGATCCCGAAAATATCATGTCCCACATTGGGTGGAAAACGGAGGAAACCGCCAAATATTACTTGCAGATTCCAAAAGTCTTAAGATCAAATTCTCCTGTGCTACTGGTTAAGCACCTTGAGACTCTGAGTTATCCACTAACACTACCAGGAATTTAACGAACTTRAAGGGTTCACATCTGCTTCAAATAGACCACTTTCATAAGTGCCTACCATCGATTTCATACACCATTATGAACATTCAACAYTGTCATATGGAAGAACTATCTGGAATAAGTGTTCGTGGAAAGTTTTGAAACTATGGACCAAACACTAAGTTAAGACGGAATAAAAATACAAGGATTTGTGTGGAATCTCTGGCTGATGCCTTGGAACCTCGTTTTGGTGTTTTGTGCATCTTCTAACCCTTATAGCTCCAAGAAGATTTAATATTCAGTAAAACTTCCAGAACTTATCTTTGACTTTGACCTCTATCAACTAAGTGTTTTCTTTTGTGAACAATATGAATTCAGCGGTATTATGCCAATTAGTATCGGCCATTATAAAAGTCGTCAATAAACTACTACTTTCAAATCAATAAAACTACTGTTATGCCACGGTCTTCAAGACGTTACTTTTATGGCCACACCTAATCTTGTAGATTGGGAGAGTAAAGGGGAAATTGGCCCTTACTGGGGTCGGTCGGGTATTATGGAGAATAGTACAGAGCAGACCAGTGCGAGGATGGGCACGTCTTTGAAGACCTGCCCATATCTCATTATATATTCATGTGTATTGTAGGTAGTGATAATATTGTACTATTTTCACTACSGGAAATAAAGCATGAAATTAGCATAACAATAGATATCCCATAATGCCTTGCAGTGCATAAATAAGCGTGATCTGCACGCTTTGTTCATTCCGATTCAAACCACGAACACATACTGGTTTAATTCGCCCACCCACCCTACCCCCGACATGGCGTGTGGAACCTACAACACTCATGGATATACCGCTGTCCACTTTCGTGGCCAGCAGTCTTTTCAGACCTGCCCATATCTCATTATATATTCATGTGTATTGTAGGTAGTGATAATATTGTACTATTTTGAGCTCAGTTCAATAAATGCAAAATTTCAAAAGGAAACATTTTTATTTAAGCTATACAGCTATCTCAACTTCTCGTAAACTACATGCAAGTAATTAGATTAGACCCGGCAAAAGATAGACGTCTGAAACGGACCTCATTGTCCAGAATCGGTTTTGATYCTGGTATCGACGGGTTGTGGATGTCTGCAATGCTTGTTTTATAATTCTTCCCAGTGCACCCAATTTATTTAAAACAATTTAAATTAACATTATGAACCGCTTAAAAGAAACGGTCTGTTGGCATTCAAGGAATTTTCAATCTTGTAGCCAATAACTGTTGAAATTGATTAACTTTAATAATAAAAATGTTTCCGTTTGAAATTGTGTATTTATTGAACTGAGCTCAAAATAGTAATATTTTGAAATCACTCAAGCATGTTTTTGCTCTTTTGTTTCTTGTGCCAATCTCATTAGAATATTAGCAAAACTCATTAGCATTTAAAAAGTGGGTTATGCGAATACGTTCTAATAATTGATATAAACGTTGTCAGGTTGCAAGAATTCATTATCACAAAAGTTAAAGCCGCAAGGAATTTTAGTACTGAATAAGTCGAATCATTTTGCCCATKTTAAATTATAACATTATTCGCATAGAAGGTCATTTTATTGCAGTGCAGGCAATCTTACGACACAGAAACTCTGTTACCTACATATTATATGCTTGATCGTCCTCCTTTTAGGTCTTAGCTTTGATGATGTATAAACCGACTACGTTTCTTTTAATTAGGTGTATACCCTCGTTAAATAAACCCTAGCTTTCAGCGATCTCTTTTACACTCTTTTTGCGCAAAAATCATGTACTCTATAGAGGATATTACCTAGGCGCGCGGAGATATGGATTTTATCTTTGAGTGCCGAAAAGATCTCTCAC